GGCAGCGCCCCAGTTGACCTCAGTGGGATCATCCCAGCCACCGGCGCTACTGGCCATCATGGATGAGGAGGCAGCAGCTGCAGAGGAAGCGGCCGCAGCCGAAGGACGCACCTCGGGCTCATCATCGCTATCGCTGAAGGTACGATCCCTGGACAGCTGTTGCTCCTGCTTGGGCTTCGTTTGGGCAGCGGCCTGAGCCTGCGTCTCCTCCTTGTCGCTGTCGTAGAAGGAATCCGAGCTTGGATTCTCGCCCTGGCCGGAGGCGTCGGTGCGCATCGAAATGGAACTGGCCGAACGCGTCAGCTCCTGTACACCCATGATCTCGGCCTCCTGCACCCACTCGTCCACGTTGATGCCGCCATCCCGCAGGCACTGCAGGCATGCCTCCGCCTTTGTCTTCTCCGTCTCGGACCGACGGATTTGATCGCGGAACTCCTCGATCTTGGTGTCCAGATCCGGGCCATTGGGATCGTTGGGATCGGTGCGCTGGCCGGAGTCTCGCAGCGACTGGCACAGGGCCAGCTTCTTGGCATTCTCCCGTATCGAGGCATTCTCCTTCACCACCCTTCCGGCCAGATTCTTGGCCTCCTTGGTCAGCGTCTCGGCGGCGGACTCGTGCTCCGCGGTCACCTTGCGCACCGGATCGTTGTCGCACGCCTCGAAGTCGTACTGGATGTGCTGCTTCAGCACCGGATAGAACAGGTAGCAGCACTGCAGGTTGTACTCCCGGGTCAACTGCTGTGCCTGGTCACGGATCTTCCCGAAGCTGTTCTGCGTAGCCGAGCAAGTCAGCAGCTCTGTGCGGCTGGAAGGCAAATGCTCATTTTAGTCATATTTTATAAAGATTTTCAAACACAAAAAAGTGATGTGACTCATTAGATTTGAATAGCGTAACCAAAGACAGTAGAATAATAAGATGCGTAACGCCATACGATTTTTTTGCACACGATTTTTTCGGGCTGGCTCTAGAGCTGGCTCCAGGCTCTCTCGAATTTTTGTTCAAAAGCCAGAGAGAGAGAGCGCTTTTTTATGAATAAATATTTAAAAATAAATATTATAACATTTCAAACATTTGTATGAATAACATTTGCCCGGTTATTTGTTCAAGAGGGATGCCAATTTGATCTTGCAAGTAATGACACTTAAGAACACATACACTACACTCACTGCTCGACCAGTAAGATAGATTACTTGAACTACTTTGCGACTCTAAATTAGAAGACATGCCTTACGGTCTTCACCAGAACTAGTTGGATATTATAGGGCTACAAGGAAATATGTTTCCTAAACAAATATTAAAAGCGGCAATAACTATGTGTTCCGACAGTAAGTTAAACATTCTTCAGGATTTAATTAAGACAATTTTTACTACTTTGTGCAAGTAACACATGCACTACATACATACATACATACATACATACATACATACATACATACATACATACATACATACGTACGTACGTACGTACGTACGTACGTACATACGTACATACGTACGTACATACATACATACATACATACATACATACATACATACATACATACATACATACATACATACATACATACATACATACATACATACATACATACATACATACATACATACATACATACATACATACATACATACATACATACATACATACATACATACATACATACATACATACATACATACATACATACATACATGCATGCATATATACATACATACATACATACGTACACTACACATACACTACACATACACTACTTGAACTACTTTTCGACTCTAAATTAGAAGACATGCCTTACAGTCTTCACCAGAACCAGTTGGGAATTATAGGGCTACAAGACAATAAGTTTCCTAAACAAATATTAAAAGCGGCAATAACTATGTGTTCCGACAGTAAGATAAACATCCTTCAGGCTTTAATTAAGACAATTTTTACTACTTTGTGCAAGTAACACATACATAAATACATACATACATTCGTACTTACATACATACATACATACATACGTACATACATACGTACATACATACATATGTATATATACATATATATAGTACAACAATTTAATAAAATGAAATTCATCAAATTCGTTCCTTAGATCAAAATTGATTTCGGACTGAAAATCGTCTTCTAGCACACCTTTATTGTTTACTGTTTTTACTAACACAAGCAAGTGAATTCTATTTATAGATTTTTATGCTCTCAATTTTATGCGAGTGGGAAGAAGCAATTACTGCCGCCACCAAAAAAGTGGCTGCATAGTGCAAAACCAATGTATGGCCGTTACGCATCTTATCACCATATCTAAGTTTGCTGCAATCCAGTGAAGCCTCTGCGCTACTTGCAGTAAGCCAACTTTATGAGCCATATCAGTAGCGTCATATATCTTATCAGAATGTAGTTGTCGACACGAGCAAATGTTGATTAGGAAGCGGCATTGGACATGTAAGCTATATAATTGATTTACTGACTTAGCACTAATAGCTGGTGTATCCAACACAGGGCAGTAATTTAGGGGTGATGCATCATACACTTACCCCATTAACATGAGGTACTCGGCCACCCGCTCGAAGACATAGTTCTCCATGGTGGTCATCGTGGTCTGCAGATCGACGGTGAAGTAGCGATTCTGATGGGCGTTGGCCGCCGCCAGACTGAGCACGTAATCGTTCCGGGCGCCTGAGGACTTCTCCTCCAGCAGCTCCTTGCGAGATGTGACCCGGGCGCTGTTCTTCTGCAGCGAAGTGATTGATTGAAAGAAGGAGCCCTTCTTCTTCTTAAGCTTCTCCTCGATGTCGCGTGCCTTGTCCCGGACATCGTGGGCACAGTGCTCTTCGTCAAAGTAGGACTTCTTGGTCTTGTCCACATCACCCACGCTCAGATGGAGTTCCTTCTGCACATTGACAATCCCGGAAAGCGATCGCTTGGCTATGGCCAACTTGTAATCGCGAAGAACCTTCGCCTCATCGGCGATTTGCTGTTGAAACACCTCGATGGCGGCCAGTCTAGCTCGGGCCAGTTTCTCATTCTCCTCGAGCACAGTGCGCCAAACGCTCCACATGTTCCTGAAAGATTGATTGCAGATAAGTTCGATTTTCCAAGGAGACAAGCACTATAATTCATATTAATCGAAGGTGCCATAAATCTCAAATGCCCTCGCTTATTTCAAGCTGCAAAGCTGGAGAGGAATACCCACCAGCGCTCCTCCATGCCTTCCATCTTAATGTCTGGTATGTTGGGTATCTTCTTGTTGAGATACTGCGATGAGATCTTGAGCAGCGACTCACTGTACGACTTCTCGACAGCGGACCGCTTGATGGTGAACTGCCGGATGTCCTCCAACAGGTCGCACTCATGCTGGTTCTTCAGCTGCAGCTTGGCCACCTGCTCCGTGTGCAAGTTCTTGAGGAACTTCACATAGTTTCCCTGCAGGATTGCGAGTTAAACGCTTGATTATTTGGGAACGTGCTCATTGTTTTGGGTTTATTTAGGTATTACCTTTCGCGGCGGCGGCTGCATCATGGGGCTTTTTCTACGGCAAACGGTCACTCTACAATTTGATTTTTTTTCTATTTTAGCTCCGACCTAATGGTGTTACATTACCTCTAGCAACTGTAAATAGTATGATGATATTATGATATGATCTTGGGATATACGTGCATAATTATTATTATCCTATCCTATCCTATGACTTCTACATCTTGATGTATTAGAAACTTGTCTACATTTTCAGTGACTCAAAATGGGTGATTTATGTTTTATGATTTCCAAAAATTTCAGGGAATTTAACATTATCAAATTACAGATTAGATAAAATGTTGCCCCACCAATATTTTTTATAAAGATTTTCACATTTTTTTTTGGCTGTGTAAATGGGTGGTACATGTGGGTGGTTGAGTGGTTCTCAAGCCGTTAATGGATTCGCTACGCAGCAACGGTTCGCAGAACTTATGTAACGAAAATGCATTGATAACTGCCAGCGAAACGCAATGGAAAACCAGGGTTTTCCTTAAGCTCAAACGAGGTACTATTTTTAGCTGGAAATTTTCACTGGGACAGCCCACGCAGCAGCCCCCCTTTTCGGGTATCGTATCGATTTCTCAGTCCCCGGACTAGCTTAGTTTTTAGGCATTTCAACAACTACGATATTCAAAACACTTGGCTAACACTTTTTTTGGACATGGCCAGTTAGAATGGTTGTTTTTCAGCTGGATAAGTACTTTTTGGGACTCTTATCGCTGGGTTTTCACTGAAATTTGTGGGCTTTTCTGGGCAGCTAAAATCCGTTGCTTACTTATCGATTTCGATTTTCACGACGTTTGTGTGGGGACTTTTCAACATGCACCGTTAACTGCTGCTGCTGCGCAGGAAGAGACCGCCAAGAGAGCGGCGATAGAGAGTCGAAGAAAGAGAGAGAGAGAGAGGAAGCAGTCGCGTTTCATTCATGGCCCTCGAGTACCGTTGACAAAGAGGGTGAGTTTTATTGTTTTTGCGCCGTCAGCTGTTTGATAACACATCACTTTGCGTGTAACGGCACTTCAGGGGAATTATCAAAAACGGAAAAAAAAAAACTATACAAATTCAACCTTTGAATAGTTTGCCATTTGCGCTTGACACCTGGCGTACGACCACTGCTAAACAAAAATGTGCGTTTGCATGGAAATACTCAATTGCTGTGGCTATCAGAAACGGTTTAATTGATAACTTCAGATATTGGCCAAGAGGCTTGATAAGATTTTCGAGTCGCGCCCAAAAGAATGCATGCCATAATATAAATGCATTACGTTGCTTTGAGCCCTTAGACCTTTTTTAAAAACCACATTTAGAAGCTCAAGAATGAGGCATTTTGGGTGAATTTGGTTTTTATTGAAATTAATGGTTTTTTAGTAACTATTTAATTTTCACAGGATTTTAGGTTTAATTTTAATTTAGTCTTTTACGTTTAACTTACATTTTACATGCATAGCTGCATAAGCTATCGATAAATTTCTATCGCCATCTAATGAGACCAGCTGCTGCCTATCGACGATAGCGTTCGATTTGGTATTTTAATTTAGGAATTTGTACTTTGTTGTTTTCATGTTTTCCCCTTTGAAATGGCCACGAAGCTAAATGTAAATATCCGCACCCTGCTGACCAACTGCGAGGACCTGGCCAAAAGCGAGCACAACTTCTGGCGGCTGCAGAAGTTCATCAAGTCCCTGGACACAATGCTCGCCGAGCTGGAGGCGATGGACGATCCGCAGAGTGCCACCCGCATCCCGGGCTACTTGGAGCGCCTAAGGGCCCTTAAGTTATCCACCGGATATACAGATGTCGCCAGTTCCACAACAAATACTCCCGCGCAATCCTCCTCAGTCAGCGAAACGGGGGAAAATGCACTGAAAGAAATGAGGCAGCTGCAGAACACCAAACATCACAACGAACTGCGAAAGGAACTGCTGCAGGGTAATAAAGGATTCAATCAGTTTTGAATCCAAACTTTGAGGGAACTGCATTATTCCTCTGAAGGCATTAATAAATCATAAAATCAGACTAAAGCGTAAAAAACTTGTATTTTAGATGCTGATGCCCTGCGAAGACGTCGAGGAGCAGATGAATCCTCCACTAGCCCTGGCGGCGCAACCGTACAGGGAACTTCTGGGGAAGACATGAACGAGGCTGCCAAGTATTATACGAATGCCCAGGAGAAGATCACCGAGCACATGCTGTCGCTGACACGCAACTTGAAGGAGCAGACGGAGACTGCCAACAGGATTATCCGGAGAGATACGGAGGTGGTGTCTCGTTCCGCCGGAATGGCGGACCGCAATATCAATTCGCTGGGGAAAGAGGCTGAGAAACTGGAGCAACATTCGAAGAAAGCATACAAGTGCTGGCTCTGGCTGATGATTGTCTTTGTAATTGTCACCTTTATAGGTGAGTCATTGTGTTTTTTGGAAGTTTTATTTATATATTCAAGCAAAGAGAAAAAACCTCTTGGATATCACCAATTTAATTGAGCAAGCTTGTCTCTATTGATACTTAAGCCTAAAAATGGTGCTTTCTACTTTAAAAATATAAGAACTTAAAGTTTTCCACCTCAGCGATACACATTTTAAGTCGTTTATGGTACAAGTTATCTGAGATTATAAATATTCATTACTAGATTCCATTATATTATTGAATTTAAATTTAAAACAGTTTGAGCAAACACCGCGAGTCAATTAGCTTAATGTAAGTGAACAAGTTTGCCGTGACTCAGTTTAAAATTACATTTCCTAATTGGTTCGATTGATTGCAGTTCGACTGGTTGCTTAATCATACTAATGAGTTTATTCCCCTTTCCATTTACAGGTATGGTGTTATTCATGAAGATTATGAAGAAGAAGAAGGCGTAGAAACTGTTTCCAAACAAATCAAACTAAAGATTGTACTCCAAGCAAGCTTTAAACGCTCGTTAAGCTCCCGAGTTCAAGAGGTTATCCCCAGAGCGCCCAAATCGTGTAAACAGCTCCACATTAAACGATCGAAAGCCGCCCAGCGATTTATTTATGAATAGTTTATGTACAAGCGAAAGCGTTTAGATTATGGTTTTTGAGCATTCTTGTTGTATGTAAATGTTTTTGGATCTGTATCTGTATCACCAAACCTATTCGGCGGCAATGAGCTGCGTAACGCCGTTCTTGGTGATCAGCTGCAGCAGGGATCCAGTTGCGGGCCTCTCCTGAGCTTGGGTCCACTTAAGGAAAAGTCCGGCCACCTCTGTGAGTGGAGTCCAGGTGCCAAAGTCCGCATCTGGCATCCATTTACGGTTCATGGGTGTATCCAGAGTTACGGGAAGTATGGACACAGCCAGGGAACCAGCTGGCAGACCGGATTTCTCAGCGCCCAGAGATCGGGTCAGCTGGTGGACAGCTGCCTTGGCCATTCCATAGCCGATCATGCCGGGAGTGCCCTCCAGAGCGGGCTTAGCTCCAGTGAGGGCCAACACTCCTCCTTCCTTCAGATGCTGAGCAGCCACAGCTGCCGAAATGGCAGAGGTCCAAACACTCTGCTTCCACATGAGATCAGCATTCTTGGCCAGATCCTTCTTGGCATTACCGCCTGCCCAGCCGCCAGCCACGCAGATGACGGCATCAAGTTTCTCGCCGGCCAGGGATTCTGCGACCTTGGAGACCACCGTTTCCTCCTGTGCCGCCCAGGCAGCATCGCGTGGCACCACGATGCTAACGTCGGCCTGCTCGTTCTCCGTCAGATCGATGCTGCCAACCCACTGATGGATTATCCAGGTCGTGAAGGTCGTAGCCGCCGCAAAGGAAAAACCATAGTTAATGAGGCAATTGTATTTAACACTTAAGTGAAAGGTAACTCACATAATTGTTGGCTTTGAAGTGATCGACACAGGCCGAGCCCAAGGCTCCCTTGCCGCCGTAAATAACCACTCGACCTGCGGACATGATGCGTGCTGCCAGTTTTGAAGCTTAAATTCAACTAATTGCCAACGAAAAACACGAGAACTCCGAACTTGGTGAGTCAAAATCGGGCGGGAGCTTTGAACGCAAGTGGGGTTTTTTAACCGCGAGACCAGTTCTACCGGTAATAATCGGGAGAATAAATTTCAACTCAGGTTTAAGCTTCAGCGTGCAGATATAGCTTTTTATTCGCTACAGCAAGATACAGTGGGAGCAACAAGTGGAAAATCAATAAGATGGCATGCGAACGCACAGCAAGGTCACACTGGTGCGAGTAACGCGTTAGTTGGTATTTCTTTTTGGTATCCAACAGCTGTTCGCCGCCAACAGCACCCGTCTCACTCTCGCACTCGCACTGCTCGCTGCTCATTTTTGAAAAGGGAAATGCGTGAAATTCGTGCGCCGCATTTCCACCAGACCAGAGTTACGCGCCGTAGCTGTGTTTTCCACTCAGTCCCACCAGTCGCCGTCGCGTTACGTCACGAGAACTAAAGTTGTTGTACTATATCGGCTAAACGGTGAACGGTAAATATTGAAGAGAGAGAGTTTTCCTGGCTTCAATTTTCCATTGCAATCGCCCCCACCATCCTTGGATATTTGGGTTTTTTGGAAAGAAAAATATAAACACATGTGTGTGTCGCCACAGTGTTTTGGTTTTTCTCGGCCGCCCAAGTAGACGGCGCGTAGTTTTTCACTTTGACGGGAGTTTTCCTTTCGGTCATCGCCTCACACTCATTTCTAATTGTGATTCGTAGGAAGTAAGTTGTCTAGTGCAAAATATATATTCAAATAAAATAGTTTTAAATCGGAACACACAACAATAAAATACATGCAAACACCACCAAATATCGGAAAAGAATAGAAAAAGAGCAAATTATAAAATTACGATAGAAACCAAGAGAATATTAACCGAAAACCCGTCAATCCCATCGTCTTTGGTCTTCTGGTTCTTCTTCATCACCAACGTCCGTTAAGAACCACGCATCGTTATTGAATAATCTGTGGATATTGAGATACATATATACGCATCGCATCTAGGATAAATGATACGCAACGACTGTAACTGTAAACTGTGTCCCCTCTCACGTAAGAAGTAACGTAACGCAGCCTGTGGGAACAACGTAGCTTGGACGCAATCGGGAAAATCTCCACGGAGGACGCAGCTAACGGTGAGTTTTCCTGTAGCCAGTACGGGGTGGGGGGGCCTTTTAGTGGGGGGAATGTCACTCACAGGGAAAATGAAAAATGCCTGGCGAAAATTCTTGGTCATGCAACTCGTTTAGCCGCTCTCCCTCTTTCGCTCCCGCGTGCGCTCACATGTTTGTGTGTGTTTATGCAGCGGAAAACGTGTATTCTTGAGAAAAACCAGAAAATCGAAACCCGGAATTGGGTCAGTATGTCAAACGCCGTCCCGCTCCCACCGATTCCAATTCCGATTCCGATTCAAGCTGCTAGTCTGGCTAAAAACTCTGGCTAAAACGTGTTTCGTGCTTAGTCAATTTGTTCTTTTTCATCTACTCGCAGCTGCCTCTGTCGCGGCCGCTGCCACAGTCGACGTCGCTGCGCGGCCACTTGACTAAAAGCGGCCTAAACGGCATCGCCTCCAGAATGCCTAAAAAACTAAACAACAAGCACCGCCAATGCACGTGTGTGAGAGAGAGGGTTACGGATGGTGGGAAAAAGACAGAATGTCTGTCACCCGCGCGACCAACTTAAATACCCTGTACTTCCTAAGTGGGGGATGTGATAGAATAGTTTACGAATGTAGATCTCACACAATGAAACCTTTGCTAACATTTAGTTATTTTAACCATAATAATAATTTTAACCATAATCGCATATGCTACAAGTATTTTCATAGTGAGGTGGAAAAACAACTGTTTTATTAGGGCAAACACAAAGCTGCCATCGCTGGATTCTATCAAATTAACTTCTATAAATAATAACTTACTTTTTAACTTACATACATATGCCTGTAGATATGTAGATGTGTATACTGAGTAGCTCCTATTCGGCAGCTTATCTGCGGTAGTGTAAAATGATAAATGGCCCGCTCTCTGGCTGTCGTAGTTTTGCCTCTCACTAGTTTTTCGGCCACTCGCTTCACTTGATCTTGCACTCGGATTTCGACCGCGGTGCAGCTGACAGCGCAGCCAGCGTCGACGGCGACTGCGGCAGCGGCAGCGGCGCTTTTACCTTGAGCACGCCTGCACTTGTCGCCAGCCCCCCTCCCCCCGCCCGCCGCTTGCTCACATGTCGTTCGAATTTGAACTTCTGAAAAAGCCAACACCTTTCGAAATTTGTAGCCGCTCTTATTTCTTTTTCGTTTGCCTGCGAGCAGCGGCGTTTTTATATGTATTTCTGATGTTTGCTAATAAAATTATTACGACTTGGACGGACGACAGCGGCTGCTAATGCTAATGCGTTTTAAGGTCGCCGCCGCTGCTCTTGTTGATTTTGACCCAATAAACAATATGATGATGCCCCGCTTAGATTTGTCGGTCCATTTAACATGTGTCCATTCCATTGGCCCAGGATCCGATTTGATTTATTTCAAAGTTATACAGCCAGGCGCTAAACAAAACAAACAACATGAAAGGGCGAAATTGTTGGCGAACGGCAAATGGCAGACAGCTGGTGCTCATTTTCCGGGATGCGAAAAAGGGATAGATTCGGGAAAGTGCACTGAGAAAATCAGTGTGAAATTATGGTTTGGCTAATGTTTGCTTTAAAATGTATACATAGTTTCATACCTTCAATTATCATATTTTATTTAACATGCACACCTTTTTACATATTTTAAATATTCAAATGAATAGTAAAGTATACTGCCGTCGTTCATGAGATAAAACTGCTTATACATAGGTGGAAATTTATTCTAGGCAAGGTGCAGAGCAGTGCAAAAGTACCTATCCAAAAACAACTCCCCAGATAATCCATCATTACATCATAACCGTTGCGAATTCATGACTAATGGCCGATGATTTTTCTCTCTGTGGGGAATACGCGGCGTGGGGGCGGGGAAGGGGGGAATAGGGATAACAACGCGGAAGAGGCTCTATTATAGGTTGCTGGTTTACTAGTTAACTGGGACCCAGCCTAGGGAGAGCGAAAGGGAAAGGGTGGCGAAAGGGCAGGAGAGAGCGAGAGAGCTAGTGGGAATTACTAGGGAGTGGGAGTGGGAGTGGGCGGGAAGCAGCGGGGGGTGGTGACACTGACAGTGGAACACCTTCGTCATCGTCAAACATTCGGGCTGTATAAGAGCAATAAATAATGCACACGAAGAGCAGCGATGAGAGCAAAAGATATGGCAAATATCGGGCGAGAGATTCGAGAGGGGGCGAGAGAAAGCGGTGAGAAATTTGGTGGGAGAGCGAAAGAGATTCGCTTTGGGGGGTTGCTTGTGTTTGATTTTTGCACTTAAGAGCGCAAAAAGTGGCTTTGATTTTCATTTTCCGCCTGCTCTTCTGCTCTTTCGCACGCAGTTTGGGGCATGCCAACTTTGATGGGCGATTTGACCAACCCCCAGGAGGGAATTCCCAACTTGGCTCATTAAATTGATAACGTTAAGTGCAGGATATTCAATTTGATTTCACAGGCAAGGGTATGCGATATAAGTGATACAATGTATCGGTATGGATGGGTTAGCTTTCAATCACTTGATATATGGCGAAATGCCTATGCTAATTTTAGTTTTTGTGGCACTTTTAAATATCCAATACACAAGAGCGATAATTTGTCAACGTTTCTTGTAGTGCATATATGTTTCCCCGCGAGCATCCACTCGAAAATATTTCCCTTTTCTTGGCAACATTGTTGTTGGCGGTGGGTGAGTGGGCGGAAAAGTGGGCGTTGCGTGGGCAGTCGCCCCACATTTGCATGTTCCCAACACGGCACACATATTCTCGCGTCTCTGCGCCTCTTACGCGTCTCGCTCTCACTCTCTCTCACGCTCTTGCCGCTTTTCTTGCTCTCTGGACGTGGATGCCCAAGTATATAGCCCGAGTTCCAATTGGGATAGGGATGCGAAGGCTATAGCGGTAACCTATATAATTTTTTGTTCCGCTTCTAACAACAAGCACATCCTCTCGTGCTCCAAACCAAAAAAAGGAAGGAAATCAAAACCTCTGGCAGTTGAAGGTTCTTTTAAAGCAGTTACTGATTTTCATGTGTATATTTTTCCACGTTTGTGGGGAGCAAAGCAGCGTTTTTTTTGCTTTCCTGCTGGCTTTGAATTTAATGTTAAGTATACGCATCAGTGAACTCAATTTAATTATCATGATTGTTTCGTCCGCTGCCTGTCTTTGCTTTCGCTTTGCATCGCCGTTGATGAAATTCAAATTTTCCAACTTCACAAACAGACGCTTCTCGCAATTTTCCAACGTGTTTTCCGCTTTTTTCAGCTTGTTTTCTTCTTTTTTTTTCTTCAGCTTATGTAAGTGAGGCGCTGAGAGCTGATAAAAATGAAATGAAAAAAACAAAAACAAAAATTACCTAGCTAGCCATAATTACGAGCTTTAGATTCGCTCGCCCTTCGCCCATTTTTTATCAGTGGCGTTATTTATGCGTCCTCCCACAATGACAAAGTTTCACGGAGTGGGTGGGGAGGGGTGGAGGGTGAAGTGGGGAGTGGGGGGTGCGCCTTTGATAGACAACAATTGAGCATTTGAAGTGCAGCGTAGCGCAAAGAGAGCTCAAAAGTGGGAAAATATATGGAAAAACTAAACTGAACCGACTGCTATACTCGTCGCAGCCGAAAACCCAAACGAAAAGCAATTAAGTTGCCTCGGATCATTGCACAATAAGTAAAGAATCAAAAAACTCGAAACATAACTGTGTTTGCCCGTCCAGCCAAAACCGTTGACGTCGCTGCCAACTTCGCAGTCGCTGCCGGCGCTGCACACTGCTTTCAACCCATTTAAATAACAAACAATAGGGCCAATTGGTTGGTCGGCCAGAACGCACCGCATTTGGCTAATTAGTCTTGAAACCAGAAGAACTAGAAGCCCCCAAAAATAGGTGTTGCTCACCGCGCCTCTTGGCCTGGATTTTAAACAAAACAGGGGCTAGCACAAAGATTAAATTGCTTTATTTTAGATAATATGATTTAATTGGGTAGACTAAGCTGGAAGATCAGTTTATTTATTTACTAATTAAGTGAGATATGGAATATATTCCATTGATGAGCACTGAAATCAATAGAAAGTACTTAGATTCCAGCTGGATTTGTGCCACCAAGCATTTCCAATTGGCATATGGCGCGGCAAAGGGGCACAGTGCCAATCAGATAATCGCAACCTTAACCGTTATTAGATCACTGTACAGCTGCGTCGCAGTCGCTGTCTCTTTCTAGGGCGACAACAACTCTAATCGGAACGGGAGATTATGTGATTGAGAGAGAAGGCTGCGGTGGGCGGTGGGTGGTTGTGGGCAGTGGGAGGTGTGTTTAATAAATAGGCCAAATATGTAATATTGCTAAAATGTGTTTATTGTAATCTTTTCCACACACTCACACACACACACGCACACTTAAAACAACGCACGTGCATCATTGCATCCCTTGGATTTCGCTCGAAGAGAGCAAGCGCGCGGCAGACAAAGAGAGCCAGAGAGAGTTGAGCGAACTATGCTGCCGCAGTCGCTGCCGCTGTCGACGTCGACTGCGCAGTTGGGGGCCCCAAATCGGGAAACTATATTCGTTCGACGCTGAGTCGTTGTTCTACCGTCGTTGAGATTGCAACACTTCTCGATTTCGGGCTTTCGGTATTACATATACAAAATAACAGAAATTCGCCGTCGCCGCCGCTCTTCGCTTAATTTCGGCCAAAATACACAATTCTCGCGTCGCACGTAAAGTAAAAAAATAAAATAAAGAGTTCTACATTTTATAACGCTGTGTGCATGTGTGTGTGTGTGTGTGTGTGCGTGTGCCAGTTTTTCATGCGTTTTCTGCCGCTGCAACAACAATTAACAACAATAACGACAACAAACAGTTACCACATCGCCTGCCCTCTCTTTCTGCCACCACTCTCGCCCTGTCTCGCTCTCGAGCGCTTTTTTAACTGCTGCCATGTATTTTTAAATTGCGTTTTTTTCGCCAAAAAACCCATAAAAAATATAAAAACAAAACAAGAGGGGAAAAGTAAAAAAGCCTGATTTTTATGTGCTGGCCGCGGACAAAAGTCAACGACTACTATTTTGGCCCGAAACAAGGCAAAAGGTTGATGTGTTAGCCATAATAAAAGCTGTACGTTTGTATGCATCAAAAACTATGTGTGTGTGTGTGTGTTTGGAAAATCGTGTGAGAACGTACTTGATTTTGGGCTCACAAGGCGGCAGTTTGGATTTTTCGCCAGAAAAACAAATTATTATGGCCAGAAGGAGGGTTATTGTTGGCCAGAAGGGAGAATGTGTTTTTTTTTATGCGTGACATATACCACTTGGTTTATTGTTGTTATTGTAACTGCTGATGTGTTTTTATGGTGTTTTTGGCCAGCATTTTTTGTGTATACCAAAGCAATGGCAAAATTCGCCCACTTCCGCTTTCTCCTCCACTTTCCCATCCTTACTGTACTGTCCCTTTATAATCTCCGCCTTTCCTGCCCCCCTTCCCTTTTGGCCACCTTCAAAAAAAAAAAAAAAAAATAGTCACAACCATATCAACGAATCTTACTCGCTCGTTTTCTACCCCCGAACTATAACATTCCTTGTATGTTGCCTTTTTCGCACACGTTGCGTATACGTAATGGCCATAAACAACAACAAAAACAGGAGCAGCAGCAGCAGTAGCCGCAATATCAGGAAACTCGCACAGTTACAACCCTTTGCCCACATTTCCCAACCCAAAAAGAGAGGGGGCTCCCTCACAAATTTCCCATTGAAATGTGCGGCAGAGAAAGCTGGAGAATTTGTTTATTCAAATTTTTCCTGGTTGGCCTTTTCAACTGCCATTTGATGAGCGGCTAAACGATATACCAAACAACAACAGCCGCCCAAATAAAAAAAAAGGAAAATACCAGTTCTAAAACCCACTACTTAATTTGCCTTGCAGTAGCCCAGCTGAAAAAACGAAAGCATCAAATCATCGAAAAGTGATAAAAAGCTAATTATGCAAAAATAATTGTTGAAATTCATAAGGCGCAAACGTTTCGCAACAAAATAGGTGCTAATTTATATCTTAAAAGATCCAATTGTTAAGTTTGAACAACGGCTAAACGCAAATGCAATCCAGCCAATAAGTGAATCCAAAGTCAAAAACGAAAAAAATCACATCGAGCGGAAAGTTTTAAACTTGATTTTTTTCGGCTGCTTGCAAACGAGGCAAGGGAAACAAAAAAAAGAGGTAAAATATATATGTACATATGTGTAATGTATTTTTAGTTGCATTCTGTGATGAGATGCTCGGGCATCAAAAAGTCGCATAAAGAACTGTGAAAAATGCCAACCGTTTCGAAATAACCCACGCGACGGATTTACTCGCGAGCATCCTAAGACAAATCTAATAAGTTCTTGGGCGCGGGGGAAAAGCGGGAAAAGTGACAGCGGAAAACAGAAAACCTAACCAATGGGAAGTGTGTCGCCTGGGGATACAGATTTTTCCTCAGACATGTAGCTTAGAGGGTGCTCCACCATCCCAATTGATTTGTTTTCTAGCGGGAGAAACATTTCAATTAAGTATGCTAAAGGAATTTCTTGGAAAATTTCATCCGGGCAGCATTTAACGATTTGTAAACCAAATTATTTGAGCTTGGGGTCATTTGTTTTACTTATGCAATTTAATAACAAATGTATAAGTTAAATAAATTTAGCGATAATCTTGAGTTAAAAGATAGGAATAATAAATGGCAATAAACAGCAAACTAATAGAAATCGATGCACTTCCTCAAAAACTAAAACCCAGCAGAACCACATTTATATTTATTACATTTCTGTGCCCGGAGCATTCATAAATTAACAATGCAAATTTATTCAACACTTGTACAATATAAATTTGAATACCATGCTTTTGCGCTGTGTAGATTTTAAATAAGATACGCCGCCAGGCGACATTTTCCGAATAGCAAGTATCTAGTGGGTCTCAAAGGAGTATCACTCCGTGATCCAGCTTTTCCAGACCTCAAGCACTGCCTTTAAGCTTTCAATGCCGTAATTCTTATTTTGGCAGTCCGCCTGCCTTTTCGGCTTACATAAATATAAATAAGTATTCCCCCCCGGCTGTCAAGCGAATGCCAAGTTTCATACCATCCTCACCCAGTCGCGAGTAGCCGAGTTCCCCGTCTGGGACACCCTGTACATAAATCTAAAATTATAATGCGCTCCGCTCTTCAATATTCATTTTCCACCGAGTTACCCCTCTCCCCCTCTCACCGCCTTTTTAGCTCTTTTTCTGTCGCCTAGGCCACAAGTGAATCCTCCGCCTTGTTACTCGACAGATTTTTCTTTATAAGCGGCGACAACACACGCACACACACACACACACGCGCGAATGCCAAAAGAGCTAAAGTACTTTTGCCTATACAGTATAGTATGTTTTCATTTAATTTTCTCGCTAAAGATACAAAAATGGCGAAAAGTCTTTTGCTTAGCTGCCATCATTGTCGACAGCTGTTCGTGGGCACAGAAGGGGGCCCATTTTTGACGGCGGCTGCCGTTGGCAATAAAATAAAAAAAAATATATAATATGCCCGCCAGGCGCTCGGTTATCGAAACGATTCGCTGGATATATTGCCGGCTACAGCTGGCAAACTAAACTTGGTGCTGTGGCAGTCTGCTCAGAAGAAAGTCGTAAACGAAGTCAAAGTTCAAGACTAAATACGATGGGGCCAAAACGCGGGTGGGGGCACATACATATGTATGTATACATGTGGCGGTGGTGGTGGTGGTGGTGGGTTAAGGCCATCAAGAAAATCTGTGTCAAAAGGAAACAAGGCGAGGAAATGCCTTTAAGCTTTGACTTTTCACAAATCAAACTAATCCCCCCGCTATGCGTGATGCCAACTTTTGCCTACACAATGGAAAAACCATCTCCAGATTACCGACATGGAGATTCTTTGAGATCTTATCTTTATGTGTGTAGTTTCGTGTAGATATTGCCATTGTGTTTCCAATAGATACATAGATACATTGCTTTTAATAAGGACCAAATCTTATGGTTCTTTTGCAGTGTATATAAAACCATAGTTTATTTATTTAGCTTTCTCTGCAGTGCGACGATTTTAGGGCTCAGGCTTTTCGATTTTAGTTTGGGTTCGATGCGTTAGCCCCACATGCAAAATGGTCACCAAACGGTAACCAAACTTGCACTCTACCGTGGCGCTGACCATTTGGACCGCAACGCAGGCAGACCCACGACCGCAAAATTGGAATACAGACTAGAGAGCACTACGGATTCAGTCCAGATTCCGATAGAAGTACACATACTCGCACAGATGCAGGTACTAAGCTACGGCTACAGATACAGATACAGCTACACCATTTGGACACACCCACCTGAATAATCTATATGCTAAGAGGGCCGAGGCCCCATGTCAGCATGTGTGGGTCAAATGCGTGCGGCTTTTATGGCCGCCATTCGTTGGGGGATTCGAAAAGTGTGGCCATAAATAGAACCGGACTGTGCAGCACGCACTGCTCTGCTCTGCACTACTCTGCTCCCAATTCCCACTGCTCGCCACATCGGCGGCTCTCAAACGGAGCAATTATTTTAGCTTTTTGCATATGCTTCGGGGTTCGAACCCACTGGAGCTGCATTGAAGCGAGTCGTGGTTGGGTTCTCTTCCCATTCATTCATTCATTCATCTAACGAGCTGATTCTGTTTTTTTTTTTTGTTTTTTTTTACAACTATTCCGTTTCCACGCTTCATTCATGCATTCGAACAAAAAGTTAATATTAGTTATCTGCATATTTTCACGGTTCTCAAATCGTTTGCGCTGCCCACCAGCGGATGCACACACCAAGACGCAGATAGCGAGATACAGATACAGATACAAAGCAGATACAGATGCATAATGCATATGGAAATTGAGTTTGCGCCACCTGACAATAGTTTCCACTTGGCTAATGTGAGAACTTTTCGTTCACCTCCAAAGCAATTTGGCCATCGCCAAAGTTTGATAGACAAAGTTTTGATTCTTAACTGCATAACGTGCGTAAATTATAGTTTGTTGAAAAGAATGCCCAAGCAATTAAATACTTACTACATTTCGCATTGAAAACATCTTATTTGGTGCGGGAAAAGAATTTTCAATTTAAAGCGATACATTTATCGAACGATTTGCGATCCATTAAATAGTAATAATTTCGGTAGCTCTGTGGAATTTTAAGTGGGGAAAAAGTGATTAACAAAGATTTGTTTACTCATCAATTCAGTTGTTCATTCATTGAATTGGTTTCCTGTTCTCAAAATTGAGTGTCTTGTGTATTTTGTTTACAACTTGATATTAGGCAGCTGCTAATCGAGTAAATTTCACGCTGCTCGAAATGATGATTGTTATTCCCCGGTTGAAACTTTCATGGCTTTGTCGCCATCTCTGAATTTCTTGGCCAGGCAATTTAGTTAAGCATGGCAACAACAATAGCACACTCACACGCAGATACACGAAGCGCATGCCGAGATATATGTAGGTGCACATGCAAATGCAGATACTGACATCGGTTTTATGCGAGTTGGCAACTTGAAATATTTCATTAACTTGAGAGGAAACACACACATTTGTGTGGGCGCAAATGCCAATGTGCATCTCTCGGAAATTTAGAAATTCCCTTATCTAAGCTGCACTTCATGTGCGAATCTCATTTGCATATCTTTAGATAAATTAATATTTTTCATTTGATTTATAACCCCCAACTGGGTCGCCAAACGTAGCTTAACTGAAATGAATTTAAGGCGCAATACGGGCCAAAACGTTGCCAAAGAGAATGCTGTTCAAAACAATACAAAAAAAAATGTTGGTCGCACATTTTTCGAGCATCGAGACAGCTGCAGATGCAGATACATTCGCGTACTTTCGGATGCAGGTACATAGTATTCGCATGCATATGCATATGGATGAAAGTTCTCAAACGAAATGATTGAAGTGAGTCAAAACCAACAAAAAGCAGAAGCCTGGAGGGGCACTGCCTTGGAGAATGACGTGCTCAGCTGCGCTTTTTCACTTTTACACACGAATACAGTCGCACGAATTCGTGTAGATACGCCAGTGCACTGGGAAAAATGTTTTTAAATTGCCTTTGTATTAATCGCACTTGGTTAAAAGTTCTTATTGTTATTACAGTGGGTCGGAGCTAAAAGCGTAGTTTACTTATTTAAAATACCTTTAAAGAGAAATTATTGCAATTGCTTATTTTCCGAGTGCCAGTCTTCATAGCTATCGCCATCTCTTTCGGTCGAGCCATTGTCTGCATTTTCGCATTTTAATTTCATGCTTTTGGCCTAGGAAACGATGGCAACAAAGGAGGCAGCAGCAGTAGCACATTCAGCTGCGTCTACAGAAATAGTTGGCAGCGTCTTCACGCCCCCAACTATGTATACACATACACATACACACACACACAATCACAATCAGTCAAAGCCCCCCAAAAAACCCCACAATTTTGTAAACCCACCCGCCTTTTGAGTCACACTTTTACGTCACTTCTTTTCACTTTTTCTCTTTCGGTGGCCGCCTTTGGCTTTTACATTTCCTTTGGCTTTTCTTTGGCTTTTTGTGTGATTGCATTTTTATGGCTGTCTCCACTTGGAAAGTGCCGAATTTGCATATTTATATTTTTGGCAGTTCCACCTGCTTCTTTAGTAAATTGCGTATACGCCCCCTTGGCCGGTACAAAAATTGTTTTTTAATGACTTAATTTGCCATAGCATTTAATGGATGGCTTCGCATCAGCTTTCGTCCTTCGTTCTCCGCTTGCGGCTGTATCAAATTCCGCTTAAATCCTTTGTCAGCATAGACAATAATCCGAACTGGGAGGGCATCAGCCATCGCTCATACGCAGCGTTGTCGGTCTCCCGCAGCTGAAGTGGCAATAAATCATCCGACCGAAACTTTTTCCACACCACACACACACACACACACACAAAACACACATACGCAACATATAGATTAAAGGACATGGGCATGAGTTAGATGGGATTTTGTGTATATATTTGCTTGAAATTAATTCCAACAGACTTTAAGTTACTGCGACTCGGGGCAAATATTGGACAAGGGCCAAAAATAAAACTAACACAAATACAAGAAGTTGGACACTGGCGATGCACAGCACAAGCACAAGCACAAAAGTTTCATTGTTTCAAACTAGTTTTTGGCTTCGCAAATATATCTGTATGTATATGTGTGTCTGTG